AGAAAATATTTTTTTTTAATAGCTTCTCTACATCACTACTCACTTAATCTTACTTTTCTCAATTCCTATATAAAGAATAATTTAATGTTTCATAAAATAAATAAATAAAAAAATACTTGATCTGTTCAATGACAACTCTTTATGCATTGTGTTTTTGTAAGTATTAACTAGAGTCATGTTTCATAAAGTTAAATTTTTTTTAAGTTGGTTTTGTAAATTGGAAATTATTCAGGCTGAAAAACACATTCAGGATTTTCCTCAAGGCGAAAAAACACCTCCATCTGCATTTGCTGTACTCTTTTTTTGTGTTTATATATAAAATTGAAACTGTTTCAGTTATTGTATGAAGGACCATCAATCTTTTTAATTATGGCAAGAACTAACTACTAGATTTAGAGTGATTTCTTAAAAAAGTAAGATAATTCGAATAATTACAGATTCGAATGGTTTGCACTCAATACGTTGATTTATCAATTATGAAAATTTGTGGCACAAAGATCTAAAATATAATTCTCTTCATATTTATAAAACAGTACTTATTTCATGCTTTGAATACGAAGACTCATATCAATTTACTTCTTTAAATTTTTCATTATAACTGTTAAGCCTTTATTTTGTCGTTTTAAACATTTGCAATGCTTAGAAGTGCATCAAAGCTAATTTTTGAAGTATGGTTCAAAGCAGAATGGATGAAGAAAAATGCCAACTGAAGAACAAATGCTCTTTTACAGAAAATTATTTATTTTTTAGATTAATTAGCAGCGATTATACTGGCTGAAAAGAAAAAAAAAGTTCACATCATGGAATATATATTTGTTCATCACTATAAGTCTGTTAACAATTTGCTGAATTTCACTTTTTAATTGACTCGGATATGCTTTGTAATAATTGACACAAAATATTTCAAAACAATTGTCACATACATTAAAAATTGTTCCTTCGCACATTAATTTCTGAAACCTAATGTGAACAAATATAAGTATTTACTAAGAAGATTATATTGTGTGTGTGTGAAATAGCTTTAACTCTGTAAAGAAAAACAAATCTTTAAGAATAAATGAGAAGGTCAAATAATCCCAAAATATTCTCCAACCCTTAAATGTACATTCTCTTGAGCAGTTTAGATAATGAATGTGGAAAAATGCATCAATTTATAATGTCTTTGTTATTTTGACAATATTTCACTAATCATTCCGAGCCTAATAATTTAGTATAATTAAATTATTTCTGATAAATTCTAAGCAGCGTAAAGTAATTTGATTATTGTTCTAGTATGTCTTAGAACAATTACTTTGTATTGAATTTTTGCCTTTGGGTCCTAAGAAGAGTATTTTGGTAATGAGAGTTCTTGATAAGAACTAAACAAATAAATCTTAAATATTTACGTGTTGTCGTTAAAATGGCTTGATGAAAGTTTACGAATTTATAATTAGCTTAGAAATGTGTTATTTAGTTATACCACCTAATGAAAAAATAATTTAATTAATTGTGGAATTATCTAATTACTTCTAAAGATTTTTGCGAGGAGGTTGTTTTTATTTAAGTGACATTTTTCCCAGCAGAACGGGGCATACTAATTGAATTAAATATATAAATTGAAATAAAACTGATGCTTTCTGCAATTAGTGGTTTTAGAAATCTCAATGTACATGCAAGTGTTTTTAAGAAATATTGAAAACCCCCTAGATAATAACTTTAAAAATAACATCAACAGAATTTTTAAAATATTTTCCAAAAACTAAGTTACAAAGAAAAAGAGTGGGTGCAAATCTAAAAGATTACATCATAAAAAGTTCTAATTGATGCACACATGCATAACACTTTCCCTTTAATGTTGTCATATTAATCTTATCGCTGGAGAATAAGTTAAAACAGAAGTAAACTTAAGGGGAGTTGGAAACCCCTCTCTTTCTCTCTCTCTCTATACTAACAATTTAAAATTGGCTGTTTTCGATGCACCTTTTCTCAAAATCTGTTATATGTACATGCTTGAAATTTTTATACAATTAAATTACACCTTTCTCATTATACTGAAATGAGCTTTTAGCTAATTTTGAATTTTTTAATAAGTTATGAAATATTTTATCAAACATTGAGAAATTTGATCCATTTTTCACTTAAAAAACAATTTTTTGAGTTTTTTTTACAAAAAACTCATTTTTGTATATGTTAGACATCATTATAAATATTTCATAAACAATTTACATACCTGTGAGCAGTAATTTCTCAGAAAAAGTACATCGCACATTAAAATTTAGATTTTGAAATAAATTGATTTTAACGTATATAGTGAGACTTCTAATCGGCTAGGAAATAAAAAAAACAAAAAGCTTAATTTAAAATAAAAGATACATGTTTTGGTTTATATCAGACGTTACACTTTTAAGCAAAAACGAAGTACTTTGTTTACATTTTTCGTCATTAAAATGGGCGTGGCTCAGATTCAACGATTATTTAAAAATATGTTTTTAGGGCTTCTAAATATCCTAGAGGTTAAATTAAGGTATTTTTAGAAAGGTTAAAATCTATACTTCAAAATGTAGAAATCTCAAATTGTCAAAAAAATAATACCTTAGCTTTCCAACACCCCTTAAGGATCAATATGTTCCTTCAATCATCTTTCAATATCTAAGAAGATATATAGAACTTGAAATATGTTCCTTCTGATATCTTTCATTATAATACCTTTAAGTAATTCATAAAAAAAGAAGAAATTACAGTTAGGAAATATTTAAGTTATTTTAATTTTATATATAAAAAATAATTTTTTTCCACATACTTTAACCCAAACTAAGATTAAGTTGGTAAAACAGTCGATTTTTTCTTTATGTCTCTCTTACACTTAATTAAATTAATGTTTTTTTGCAATATTTCCTTAAATATATATTTTTAAAAACGTATTTATTTATCACTTAAGGTATAAAAAATACCTTTATAATTTTTTACAATGGTGAGAGATATTAATGTTCTAATTTTAATTACTCTCGAAATGAATATTTTACTTATATTTATAGAAAAAATTAGAGTTATGTATTCTATTAAAAGGAAATTATGTGTGTGTATATACCATGGATAGAAAAACTAAACAAAAAAAAGTTGAGTGATATACGACACGCTGAAACTATGGGTGATGATAAGTATTACTTCAGACAGAATTATTTGAAATTCACTTTAGATTTTTTTAAATTTAAGTTTAAGAATCTTATCAATGCCTTGGCGATATGACACTATCTTGCATATTTCTAAACGTGGCGAATTTCTCTATATGTACTTTCCTGGAGAAACTTGCATATTTTTTGTATCACATTATTGACCTATTAGTATTTTTTTACTCCTTTATTTATTATTGGTGCTAGAAATAAAGTTTTTTTCGAATAAATCATCCAAAAGAAATACATTTTAACAGTTTCATTCTTATTTTAGATACCCAATTTGTGTTTACACTTATTTTGCACTTCTGAAATAATTCGATCTAAGATAAGACTATTTTTTTTCAGCAATCCTGACAAAGTTTGAATTTGATTTATATGATTTAAATAGTTTTTAACAATGTTGATACTGAAAATTCTTTTTCACTCTCCGCACTGAAGCTACTGATGATGTTTTGATCAGAACCAAGACTGTTTTATTCATTTCAGGTAATTTTAGACTCAACTGATGTTATTGTTGTATTTTATTTTCAGTTTATTTTTACAATAAATTTTCTCCAGTTTCTTTGGTTAAATGTTTTTGATAATTATGGGCTTTGAGCTTTGGGAATTTTTAAAATTTATCTTGATTAATATACAAAAAAGATTATATTAGTAGATTAGAGCAAAAACGGAAATCACCACACGTGTGAAATTCAGTACACTGTAACTATAGGTAATGGTGTGAATCTCAAATACTTGTTTTGGAAGGTTTTAAAAATGTAATGTTGCTTTTCTGTATAACTCTTAAGCGAAACATTATACAGAATTTCGATCATTACATTATTTGAAACATTCACATTTTTTTAATTACAACTAAACTTGTTTCAAGTATGTAAACCAATAAGTCAACATTTTGCAAATTTTAAAACATGGACTTAAAAAGGTTCAATTTACGCTTTTTCTATAACATTAAAATTAAAACTCATTGATCCAAATGATTAGGGTTTTGCATGTTATGTGAAATCAAAAGTTGGTCCTCATTTAGAAAAAAAAAAGAATGTAACATATAAACAAATGATTATATACAGTTTTTAATTACACAGTATGGAACATTTTTTTTTCATTTCTTCTTTTCCCTTCCTTGCTTACGAGATAAATAGTTAGCCACATATTTTATCACATTAATTCATGGAATATTTTCTATGATCTTTATAATTATTCATTTGCTCTTTGCATCAGAACAGTGATATTTTTTGGATGATCTTTCGAAACATTTATCCCTTTAAAAATCCCGTTAATTATTTAAAAAGATTGGCGGCGAATTGGACATCATTTAAAAATATACCTAAATGTACTTTTAAATTTTGGATAATTCATTAAAAGTGAGCTCTTGTTGAAAAAAAATTATTAAATTTAATTAGGAAAAAACTGGGATGAGTTTTATTTTAAATTTTCAGTCCATACGATTAATGGATGCGCCATACATTTATAAATCCTTCCATTATTATTATTATAACAATTTGCTTCATAACTAGTGAACTGTTCAAAGAAAATTATTGACATTCATATAAAACAAGTGATATAAGAAAAAGGTTAAGTCAATTCCTACTTAGGTCAACAACGAAAAATTATATTTGAGTTACTTTTTATTAAATGGTTACAATTAATATAAACATGTGTATACATATGACAGAATCATGCCATTATGTGACAAAACAGAAAGCGATTTTTCTTGCAGTTTCCCATTTTCCTTTCTATAAATGGCAATGACCTATTTTGTTTGTTTGTTACTATTTAGTCTTTCATTAAGTTTGATTATTCTAATAAAATAGTGTAGTAAAAATAAAATCACATTTGAAGAAATTAGGCCATCCCAGGTTGGATTTGAATCAACTACATTTGGATTAAAAGTACAATGCGTTATCCATTGCACTACAGGGACACATCAAGCGAGATTTTCCTTTCTATATATATTGTTGAACTATTATTTTTGTCTGTTACTATTTATTCATCTTTTAATTTGATGAATGAATAAACATTTGAAAAAATGTATTAACATCAAGTGGCCCACACTACAAGTTTAAAAAATGTATTTGAACTTGACTTAACGAATAGAAAACATTTTATTAATGATTGAAAATATGAACAAGATATGAATAGATATGTCAGAGGGATATGACGAAAAATTAGGAATTTGATCAAATCTCTAAGGGATATGATCAATTGACGGGAGTTGTTAAAACAATGTCTCTTCAAGGCCATTTCCCTAATAAAATTGTGATTTTTCTCAAATCGCTGAAATGTTTAAGTGAAATGATGAAATTAACCAGTCAGGATTTGCGTTGGCAAAATGCTTTCCAGGGTGGAAGGCACCTCCATATTTGTTAAATAAACACTTTTAAACTCTTGACAATATTATTTCATCATTTAACTGAAACAGTTCAGGGATTTGTTCAAATCCTTTACTTTCTTTAGGGAAATGACATTGAAGTGACCTTATTTTAACGTCTCCCGCCAGTTGATCATATTCCTTAGGGATTCCTAATTTCATCGCTTCTCTGCGACACACACACACACACACATATATATATATATATATATATATGGGGGGAGAGTGAACTTATGGTAGGAACTGAATCACACGAAGGTATTGTAAGAAGGGAAAATATTTCTACTTGAATCAATGCTACTTGTTTATGTTTAAATATATATTGACTTATAAGCAGAATTGATACAGACACACGTTTATATTAATAGATTTGTACTCTGAGATCTAATTTTCAGAAATTTCCTTCTGATTGGTAGGATTTTTATTACATTTTATATCATCATAGTTTCAATTCTTTCATTCCATGAAATATATATTTATAGGGATGTGTATGTGTGTGGGAACCAAATTGCTAGCGCAGAGATCCATTGACTTGCAAACAACATTTTCAACCGTAGCTCGTAGCTGTGAAATTGCCTGGAAGGCGATATGTATTCATTCATTCCAACAAATGCAGCGGAGATCGGACAATGAATGAGTGAAGGCACTTCAGAAATGCGGTTATAGCTACGGAAAAATCTTTGTAAATTTTAATGTTTTTTTTTCTTCTCAATTTCAAATAAATATTTTTATTTACAACTTCTCCGAATGCAGTCATTTCCCCAACATACATATATACAGGGAACCAACAGTGATTTTATTTAGCTGTAACCGTAAAAAAAGTATTTAGTGAGTTTCCAAGTACTAATTTACTTAATTTTCCACTCATTAGCTTATTGAAGGAATCGCAATCTGAAAAAGGAGCTACATTCTGAAAAATTCAGCTTTCTTATCTTGAAAATACGATGTGGATTGACTGTTTAGGACAGTGATTCTCAAACTGTGGGGCATGATAACCCTACTTGGTGGATGAAAGCATGTTAAAAAGTTGAAAATTAAAAATTACTTCAAAAAAATATTAATTTACTGAAGGGAAGAAATGCAAAATATATCCTGACCGAATAAAAATAAAATTTGCATGTTTATTGCAATTTGTGCCAATTTAAATGTTAGAAAGGAAAAAAAACACATAATACGTATCCTATTACTTAAAATTATATATATATATATATATATATATATATATATTTCACTTAAAATATCTATTACTTAAAACCAACATATACAAAATTTAATACTTATCTTGGTAATTTGCACCGTTTATAATTAAGGTTCCTATTGTAATTGTAGCATCAATGTGCATTATTATTGTGTTTAATGCATTGTTATTGTATGAAGGGGGGTCCGATGAAAATTATAGTTGAAAATAGGGTTGCAAATATTGAATGTTCGGGAAGCACTGGCTTAGGAATGAGTGTACTTAATTACTGTGCTTATATAAAAAAAATACTGTAGTCGTTGAAACGAGGTAGGATCTTTCTATTTCTTTTTTTTTTTTAATGTATCGATATTTTAGAAAGAAGGATTTAATCCACACCGTTGAGAATTTCTGTGGATCTGTACAAAGAAGCAAAATTTTATTAAAATTAAGGAAATATTATGGAAAATAAAAAGTGCTAAACTGAAGTATAAATTGCGAAACTTTTAATCAATAGTGCAATTAAAGACAGGGTAGCTTAAAATAAGATTGAACTTCAAGTGTCTATTGAGAATCGAATAAAAGAATAAAATAAAATTAAGCTATATAATGAGTATACGAGTATGTCTGGGAATTTGTATTACCAGTAAATTTTGAAATAAAGTATTTAATAGAATACCACAAATGAAAAACATGTACTGTATGAATTACATCCATATTTGTTTAGATTATTGCTATATGAGGTATCACAATTTTCTTTATGCTCTAAGACAGCGTTTTTCAAACTGTGAGGTCCGCATCACTAGGGGAGTGTGGTATAATTCTACCAGGGGGACGCAAGCATATCGAAAAGTTGAAAATAAAACATTAAAAAAATTTTTTAATTTACTGAAAGGAATCAAAAAATACATTCTGAGAAAATAAAAAATAATAATTATGTATTTTTGTGTATGTTTATTATGTAAATGTGTATTAAAAATGCAAATTTACAATGATATAATATACTTATAAATGTATCGGTACTGCACAATGAGTTTGATAATTAATTTAACAATACTAAGTTAAGAACAAGTTTAATAAATACTACTGACCCCATGGGCTTATACACTTTTTAATTAAATTCATATTGTAGCTTTAGTGTCAAAGTACGTTATTATTAAGTGCAATACATTTTTATTGTATGGAGGGGGGCGCCATGAAAATTATGATTGAAATTTGGGTCACAAACATTGAAAGTTGGAGAAGCACTGCTCTAAGACCTTATTTAGAATTGAAGATAATCATGTTCACGAAGCTCCTCTTTGGTCATTTTCAATTATCATGTCCAGTAGAAACAATCAACCATTTTTTTTTACTGGGGCATAGTAATAAACAAAGCGTCAAATTCAAAGCCTCTTTTTAGCGAAAAAAGTAACTAACAATTTAAATTTCGAGATAAATTCATATGTATTACATTGCATAAGTTATTTGCAGCTACTGATGTATAGCTGAACCTTTCAAGAATAATACTAGTTTAAGATTAATAGTATTATTCAAATATTGAGCAGTTTACTTCTACCAGAATATGGGGCGGGATTAGAGATTCTCAGGCAGGCCTTTAATAGATAATTTTGCACAGTAGAGCAGATAAGATATCATTACTCTGGTAATACGTTTTTCCCCATTTCAAAAAAAAATGTTTCTCTGGATGTCCGTACCCCTGAAAACATCGAAAAAGTTTATGCTGTGGTACGAAAGAAGAGGCTACAAACAATATCAGAATCTACTGGGATATCTCGGCAACAAGTCAATAGATACTGACTAAGGATCTTAACATTCATAGGGTATGTCAACACATCGCTCGCTGCAATGTGTGAAACGATGACCAATCTTCAGATGAAGTTAAAAGTGTATCGTAGACTAAATTAAAGGGCATGTCTAAAATTGAGTTCCAGAAATGTTTCTAAGACCTTTATAAGCGATGGCAAAAGTGTATTGTTGCTCGATGGTCTTATAGCGAAGGAAGATAAGTTTTAGTAGTAATATTTTGGCAATATTTTTTTAAGTAATAGACTCAGTCCGGGAAATTTTGAATTCTACTTCTAATAAGCAAATGACTCATATCTGGGAGGAATTTTGAATTATTTTATTATACTAAAAAAAATAACTTATTTAAAGATTTTAAATCTGAATATAATGTCAGTTGAGGCTAACAAAACATGTTTATCAGTCTTAATTGGTCTCAATATGTATTTATTTTATTTTTTTAGTTTGTATTAGTTGCTGTTCAGTTAAGGAAAAATGAATCGGTAGTTACGGATAATGTGATTCAGAAAAACAGTATTTGTCTTTCATATGCTTAAGTTATCCGACTACCCTAAAATCATAATTTTTGTAAGAAACACAATTTTTTAAATTATTTTTTATATTATTTATTAAATTATACTTGGTATTTTTATTAGCTTTATAAAAATACCAAGTTTATTTTTTTTTTCATTTTTGATTCACTAGAACAAAAACTATAAGTGTTTTAGTGAAAGCAGAGGCCATAGCTTTACATAAGATGTTAAACTTTAAAATGCGTTTTACTCGGAATGTGTTTTTTTCTTCGAAAATCTCAAACGGGGACAGTGATTACTCAAAAAGTTTTGAAAATAATTTGCTGAAATTTTTGGTTATGTTATGCATAACAAAAAAAGTGGTTTAACCTTCAGGTTCATCAATCACAGTTTTATTACAAAATTTACAGTTCTTTTATGTGAATATAATCACCGGTTTTTTAAGCAATTACATATATTAACTCAGATAATGTGCTCTAGTTTTTGTAAAAATTAAAATATCTTTTATCCTAAAGGTCATTTTCAAAAAATCAATAGCAAGTAATATAAGAGCGAAAAACTATGAGGTATTTCGTCTGAGGGATATCAAAATGTGAAAAAAAGCTAATTAAAAGATGCTAAATATGTTAACAGAAAAGAAGTTTCTATGGCTCCCGTCTCAACTAAGTGACTAGTAGTTATTTTTGTGAACTTTTCTCCACCATTATTTCTGACAAATAGGGGATTCAAGTCATGGTGCCAGAGGGATGAAGTTCAGTAAAAATTTGTGAAGGTCCAAGTGAGTGAGTTTTTATAACGTAGCACTTTCATAAATATTTTGGGCTATTGGCGACGGACTTCATAATTTTGAGCCTCTTTTTCAATTCCTACCATTAGCTCGCACCCTCTCTACACTTATTTATTTATTTATCTTGGTGGAATTTTCAATCGGTAATAAAATACATTTTAAAGCGCTCAATTGAGCTGAAATTTTATATACTGGATCATTTTGGATGACAATACAATAATTTAACTATAACTAATAAAAATTAATTGATTTAAACTGACTATATAAAGAA